AGGTCCCAGCCCTGGGCTGGCTTGCCTGGCCGTCTCGCAGAGTGGTTTGGGATGGTTTTGCTCCATTCCTCTCCCCACCAGCCAGTGCTGCCACCCGTCTCCACCGAGGAGCGGGAGGAAAAGTGGTTTTGGTATTAATGCCGGCAGCGGTGCCGGCTGATATCGTGTCTCCCAGCCCCCCGCCCCTCTTTGGCAGCTCTTTGGCAGTGGGGATGGGCATCCATTGGTGGTAGATAATTTTAATTTTTCTTTTTTTTTTTTTTTTAAAAAAAAACCAAAGACCCTTAACTCCGCACTGCCAGCGCAGTTAGATGAAGCCACCCTCGGTCCTACCGTTCTTTTGGTCTCAGTCCAACAATTGGGTTCGTTTTAAGAGAACAGCCAAGACTCCCTCGACTCCTGCAGCCTGCCCGGGGCCAGGAGGGTTTGGTCCCTGCTCCGTTCCCAGCACTTTGCTCACTTGCAGCTATCGCATCCTTGGCAGTTCTGAGCAGCCAGCACATGCTCACCAGTACTGTACGTCGGGCTCTTGGCATTCCACAGCCCCTTCTGCTTTCCCATTTATTCTGCACTGGACCCTGCCATATAAATATCTTCTTTTCCTTTTTTTTTTTTTGGTTTAATGCACATTTCAGCCACTCTTTCATCGCTCTCTTTGTGCTGCTTTGAACCCCTACAGGTCAGGTCATGATTCAGCTGTTGTTTAGTTAGGGCGGAAAAACAAAAAAAAAAAGAAAACCACCACAAAAACCTTTTAAAGCCATATGCTTCATAACCATGTTTTTCCAAATAATTTATTTGCAACCATGTCATATTCTGCAAGTGCACAGCGGCACCACGAGGGTGTTCGAATGCATCGGGAGAGGTCTTTTCATTAAACATTTTTGTAACAGAACACAGACCATGGGTTTGGGGGGTTTTTTCTAAAGTGTTTTGCACATGTGTAGCTAAGGAAGAGTTGTGTGTGTGTCCAAACCTCGAGTGCAGTTGCCAGGGTTAGTTCTCCAGGTTGTGTTTTTTTGGGGGGGGCGGGAGATGGAGGGCAGGAAAATCTGTAATTAGAGAGATTTGAAGACAGCCAGCTGAGAGTTTACAGAACACTTTGCATAGCGTGAATGCGGGAATTTCAGTTCAGGCCGTGACTTTTGTCTGTGACCAGTGACCTGGGGTGGCTGCTCTGAGCTGCGAAGAGCCCGATTGCCAGAGCTCAGCCCCTCCGCTGAGCATCCCATCGATGGGACACCCCAGGGTCGCTCGTCACCGGCAAAACTTGGGGCCTCTCTCTGTAACTTCCCAATGAGATGTAACTGAACACAAATGTCTGGGTTGGTTTGGTTTTTTTTCTAAATTTTATTGTATTATTGCAATAAATCTTTTAACAGTAATTTTTTTTTAAAGTTGTATAATTGTTACTTCTGTGTGGTTTGTTTTTAACCATACTGGGGGGAAATACACAAGAATTTCCATCACAGGGACCAGACCTGTTCCAGTGCAATCAGCGGTGGAATAAGCAATACAGAGTCTAAAAAAATACTCTTGCATAAAATAACTGCATCTCCATGGGAGCAGGTAGAGGAGTCCTGCAAAAAACACACACACCCCCCCTGTGTAAATTGATAAATCTCTCGTCCAAGCCTGGCTTTGAACTGCTCCATTGATGGGTGCCATTTATTTCTGCAGGTGCTGAGACCAAATTATTTCTGCATGCAAGAAAAGATCCTCTTTACCCCCTCCACTTAATTTTTTGTGGCAGCTCCCCACCGGGGAGGACCAATGCCCCGAGATTCCTGGCTGCTGCAGGAGCAGGAGCAGCAGCTTGCAGTCGCTACGGCCATGCAGGACGGCAGCCTGGGTGCAAAGCCAAGCCTGGCTCTGAGCTCAGCTCATGCCCGTGGGCTGCTTGGGGCACCTCTGCCTTTAAGCAGTGCCATCAGCAGGTTTTGTCCTCTGCCAACGCCGGTTTATGGCAGGAGAGCAGCCCCATAGTGTCCCGAGTCCCGTCCCTGCTCCAGGGCTGCCCAGAGAGCCCAGGGCGACGCTTCGGCACCGTTCCCACCTTGCAAGACTCCAGAGGGAGGTGGGATGCATCGGTGTAGGTGTGAGATGATGGTTCTGGGGCTGGCACAGGGGCAGACAGGAGGGAGCTGCGCTCTGATAACGCTTCGCAGAGCCTCGGTACGGGGAGCAGAGGCGCTGGGAACAGGCAGGATGGAGCAAGAGCCACAAGCCTCAGCCACGGGTGGTGGTTTGGTTTGTTTTTTTTTTTTTTTTTTCTCAATGATGTCCATGCCAGGAGACTCCCAGAGCTTGATGAAAACTGGAAGCTTCCGAACAATGGAAATGTTATTGCAGTTTCTTCACAGGCGTATCTAGAAATTCAGTCCAGACACTCCAACCACTCCCAGGCAGGGAAGCCGAGCACACAGCACAGGCTTTAGTCCTCACTTCTTCTGAACACTGAGTTTTATAAATCCAACACTGGACCTTTTTTTTTGTTTGGTTTTTTTTTTTTTTAAATTGCCTCTTAGGAAAAAAAAAAAAAAGAGTTCATCAGACCTTCAGCTCTCACTGGACTGGCCGTTAAGGAAACAGAAAGCTGCACTTTACTCCTTTATGGGGAAAAAATTAAAAAACACACACACAAAAAAATAAAACAACCTGCAGGTTGGCTACATTCAGCACTCCCCGCTTCTGGATGCAAAAGTTTGTTCTGTAAAACAAGTTTTTAACAGCAATGCTATGCAACAGGGATATTTCGGGCAAACAGAGTAATAAATGATGGATAAACCAGCCCCTGTTCCCCGGACAGCTGGGGGAGGAAGGTGGGGACAGGGTAGACAGCAAATTGTCCTCGGTCTCTAACTGCTCTGAGGAACGAAATAGCCTCACGCTATTATTTTATTCTAATTTTTTCCCCTTGTTCGATGAAGGCGACCAAAATCCCACACCCTGTTCCAAAAAAAAAACAACCCGACCTCCCTGGCCCCTTATCTAGTTACAAAATATTTTCCTCTGACGCTTCTATTCCAGCCTCGCGGGGACTTTCCTCGCCGCTGTCAGCTCAAGTTTTCCAGAGTCTTGGGTGGGGGGCAGGAAGGCAGTTTCTTCCCCCTCTTCCTCAACTGAAATTAAGCTGAAAACCTTTGATGCTGATGGCTTTGGCGAGACAACTCCTGCCAGAAAGTTTTTTGCTGCTTGTCCAGTGGAAAGGATGGAAGCTGGGGTGAAGCCTGTGCCCCGTTAGAGTGCAGTCAGAGACCACGGAGGGCTCCTGCTTTTCCTCTCCCTCTTCCCAGCTGGTTACAAGGCAGCCACACCCTCATTTTAGATTTCTAATTTCATTCCTCCTGGGTGGCAGAATGTCTGCTGCCCTGGGGAGGGCAGCAGGTACAGCAGGGGCTGGGGGAAACAACAAAACCAAAAATCATCCCTTTTAAATCTACCATGAACACGCTGAGCTTACCAACCCCGCATCTTGGGCTGCAAGGGCTCAGTTTTCTTTCTCTTGCTGTTAACGAAGAATAAAAGCATCTGCCTTGAAACCCTGTCTGTCCTCACGCTCTAAAAGGATGCGAGTGGCTCCGTGCGATCCCACAGCGGTTTCAGGGGGTGAAGCAGAGGGAGGGCAGTGGTCCAGCCTGGCCTCGCAGCTCTCCTCTGGTGAGCCCCAGGGAAAGGTGGCACCAGCTCTTCTTCAGCCAGGTCAGAGATTTCTGTCTGCAGCCATTTCAATCATGATTGTCAGGGTCCATCCTTGCCCTGAGAAGCAGCCACAGAGAGGGACTCGGAGAAGGCAAAGATGCGGGTGCTGCTCTCCACCTGGGTCCCTGCAGCATCGCTGCTGCTCCGCTGTGCTCCCAGGAAGGGGACGGGGCTGATGGGGTGTCCAGGGCACGTTCCCAGCTTTCCAAACGGTCCACCCCAGAGGGATGTGGTGGAGGAAATACTCCAATAGATACCCAACTCACACCTTGGAAACAAGGTGCCAGAGGCTGTAGGAGAGCAGGGCGAAGCGCTGCAAGGATTCTTCTTACAAAGGAAAAATTCCACATTGAGCAGACAGCAAAGCTTCCAGCAGAGCACCAAGCCAAGGCAACGCCGCTTCCATCCTGCTGGACCCATGCTCCATCCTCCAGCATCCACAGGGGCTGTCACAAGAGCTGGGAAGCAGGACTCAAACCCCGTTTTTGCAAGTTTTACACACCCAGCACCAGCCTTCTGGATGAGCCCCTGCCCACGTAATGCAGGTTTGGGGGTTTTTTGTTTGTTTTCGTTTTTAGGGGGAGGACTAGTTTTCTACAGGAAGCACACTGCGTGTCTGAACTACATCACAGCACCACGTTTCTGACACATGTTTTACAGTATTTTTATTTTGGGGCAAAATTCTTACAAGAGAAAGTCTGGTAAGGCAGATCTAGAATGCACATTTTATTTAAGTTAAAAAAAAAAAAAACAAAAAAAACCAGACAACATGGGTAAGGTAGACAAGAATTTCTTTTTTTTATATTCTGACTATACAATAACATTCCTCTCTTTTTCTCCACTGCCACGCTACTATAATGGATCTGTTCTAGTCTAATTTTCAGGTTGTCCAGTTAAGTTGTCTGCAGATTCTTTAAACAAGATGACCTTTACCTATTTAGAGTTTCTTTCTCAGAAACATTCATATATTATACAGGATATACAGATTTGGAAACAAGATACTTAAAAACACACACAACTATAGCCGCAACACTATCATAGCTGCATTGTAGTGATTATGTTGTTCAGCCAGCTGTAGACTCTCTATGTACAATTAGTTTTTATAGTGTTATTTACACAGATGGACTAAAAGCTATCTTTAATCTAAAAGGTAAAGGCTCTTGCGTTTAAGCATGTGCAGTTTCATAGCCCTGTGGGGGAAAAAAAAAAACCAAAAAAAACCAAAAAAAACCCCACAATTATATACACTGTAAACAGCACAAGGCATGAGAATCTCCTCCTACCCCCAAACAATCTCGCAGGAAAGTGTATGTGCACTAATATTCCTCTTCCACGTCGGCTCCCGCTCCTCTGCTTTTCTTATGAATAGCACGGTTAAAGCTGTGGCAGGCAGGAACCCAATGATTGTCATGCAGACCTAACTTACAGCCCGGGATGCCCTTCTGGGACCGGTGACAGCACATCCAGTACCCAGGCCCGTAGGGTAAAGCTTGACAGTATGGTTTGGGATGCCACCGGCACAGCGATACGTCCCCTTTCACGTATTTCTTCTTGCACTGCTTGCAAGGGTCTTCTCTGTAGCGGGGATCGCGGACCCAGCGGGAGTCTGCTGGCCTGATGTTGTAGTATTCGATGATGAATTTGAAGTAGTAGCAAGTGCATTTTAGGGCAACTAGACTCCTAGTAGGAAGCAATCCAAAGATCTTCACTATGATGTGGTGAGGCAAGAAGGCCATATACTGCTGGGGCTCCAAAAGCTGCTGAATTTTAAACCTGGTCTCCAGAAAGTCATGCGAAACCTGCCTTTTTAAGCAGGAAGCATCAAGTACTTGCAAAGTCCCTTCTGTCGGAGGAACAGAAAGGACGGATGGCTCTGTAGGGACACCGTTTCCCACGCACGATCTGTCGGATGCCAAAGCATCCTCATCCTCATTTTCGGCTACCTCTCCTGGCTTTTCTTGGGTGCTTTCCCGCAGTGGCTGTTGCTCGTGAGCGGCAGGCTGGTCAGCCTGGAGGAAAAACAGCCTCCCTGGAAGGGGATCTTCACTGGAACTGGAGTTTGAGAGCTTCTCTTTCCTGCATCCTTTCTCGGTCTTGGTGACCGATATACTGATGCATAAGGGCTCCTTCCTAGCAGGATGCAGACTCTGCTTTGGGAAAATCACAGGCTCTTTCGACATACAATCAACAGTCGCATTCTTGCTCTGCAAGGAATCTGGTGGCAACCTGGCAGCGGCTGGACACGCAGATGGCAGAGGTCTGGGAGGCTCAATTCGCGTTTCAGAATCGCTTCTGCCAGCGGTTATTGCCAACACTGCATGAGCAAGTCCCGAATTCACATTCCCCACTCCAGTATCCAGCCCAGAAGGAAAAGCCTGCCGAGCAGAGGCAGCACCATCCCACAACTCAGTGTCACCCAAAGGACTGCACCGTCCTCCGTATCCAGCCTCCGCCACCCCTGCCTCCTCCAAACCATCCCCAGGAGGCAGGACCCCCAAGGAGACCTTCCCCACCTCTCCCTCGGGCTGGGTGCCGTTCGCCAGAAGCACCCTCCCGACGTTTCTACGGAAGCTGTTGTTCCGCGAGAGGCTCCCAGCTTCCCGCTCGCTCTGGCGCCGCAGGCACTCCGACTCCAGCTTGGCCACCATGTCCAGCACCCGCACGGGCTCGCTCTGCTGCTGCTCGTTGCTGCTGCAAGGTCCCCTCTCCACATGTACCTCACATGCCCCGGCAGAGGAAAAAAGGTCTGAGCTGGGAAGCGCACCTTTAGGCTGAGCGCTCAGCCTTGTAGCAGAAGCGGGAGTGCAGGTTTTCGCACAGTCTACCAGTAAAGCACTTGCTCGTTGCTCCAGGAAGGCCACCATCTCGATCACCGAGAGGGACCGGCCTGGGAACACACCCTCACCGTTGTCGTTCACATAATGCACCGAACAGTGCTCGATGCCACAGGCAAAAGGCTCCGGTTGGGAGCACCTGGCATTGGCCTCCCTCATTCTTTCCAGTTGAATTTTGGCTTTTTTAAGATCTACCGATTTTTTCCTGCGTTTAGCTGTTCTTCCATCGATATCCCATGTGCTTTTAATTTTCATAGAGCCTAGCCGGTTGCTGCTGCTGCATTGCTGGGCTGCAAAGAAGGCGATTTTCTCCTTTGTATTGCCAGGTTTCACGACAGCCCAGACATCCAGAGGCCCTTCTCCTTCTTCTCCCTGATGAATCGTTGCAGACAGGGCGTTCTTCTTCTCCCCCCTTGCACTTGGACCATCTGCTGGACCTTTCCCATTCATATTGCACATAGTATTTGGATAAATTATCCCCAGAAGCTTTCGAGGTGGAGTGATGAGGGAGGGTTTTGGGAAAACACTCAGTTTGGTGCAGTTGTTGGTGTATTTTTCTTCTTGTGCTGATCTCTGACGGCTCATAGGTTGGCCTCTCAGGGAATCCTGACTTATTTCTGGATATCGCTCTTTCTTCTGTAACTTGAGATATGGCTTTAAGTGCATACCAGAAACCCTAAAAAACAGAAAGGGAGAAGTTATAGTTGCAAAATACACGTCCCTGGAATAAGAGTAGGTACTAGCATCCTCCTACTCGATGCCAAGCAGCCCACTACTCTGAGAAAGGAAAAGCAGCGAGCAAGCTGCTACATCCACCCTTGGAGAACTTCTTGCAATAGGGTTATGATCTTAAGGATAGAAGAGATCTTCCCATTCGAGAAATCTGCTTCCAGGGAGCTGCAAGGAGACTTGCTAACATTTAAGTCTTATCTGTTGTGCAAACATAGCTGGAGGTTCATTCTAGAGTTAGAGCCTTCCTTCTGCCCATTAATTCCTTAATCCAGTTGTAAGGCACATGTGGGTCCAAGAGTTTATCTTGACATTAGCTACCAGACACAGATTATATTATTTTCAGTAGATACAGCACAGTTAAAACTGTAAAGGGAAATTAGCATGTGTAATTAGAGAGATCCCAGCAGGTATCTCATCTCCTAATGCTCCCCAAAATGAAACCTATTCTTTGGTTGTATCAATAATAGCTAATTTGGTGTACTTTCCCATAGGGGTCCACCAGATCCCCCCCCTAAATACCAGAAGCACCACGTACAGCTGAAGAGAACCACTTTCAAATGTGTGATTTATGGCTAAGAAGAGCTGTGAAGGAGACCCTTGGATGCTGCTGCCATTACAGCAGCCCCACCACTCCTGCGACAGTCCCAGGCACTTAGCTCCTCCTTTCTGTGACACCTTCGCAGTCACCTTCAATTCAAAGCTCAAAAAAAAAAAAAACCAAAAAAAACCAAAAAAAAACAAAACCTCAAAAGCCCAGGGCACTGCCACATGGGATGCAATTATCAGGAGACTTCAGGCTCTTCTCCCAGGAGTATCACATGAGCATATTACAGCACTAACTATAGACTGTGTTTCCATGGCAATCTTTGAATCGTTACATTCAAAACTCCTTTTTGAAAACGGGATTAGCCGTGCTTGCTTGTTTAAGAACAGCAGGTTCAATGCCACACGCATCGTGAGCCGACACGGACACGTTAAGATGCTGAATATGTTTCTCTTCACAGCCACCACCAGAACAGTTGCTTTGGCATTGGATTTCTAGCCTGGAACCAGCTTTTAATTAAAGACCTCAAGCCATAACATCTACAAAGTCGGACGGATTTATCGTTGTAACACCTGTGGTTAGCACACACGACGGGTTTATATCGGGCGGATGCCACCAGAACCTGGCCAGCCTCTCTCCTGCCGTGCCGCAGTGTGACAAGGACACGCACCTACCTTGGGACACCCTCGCTGGGTACCCCTGGGGTCAGCAGACATTGGGGTGGGTCACCCAGCTCACCCACCCCTTGAGCAGAGTGCGCAGGATGGCTCGAAGAGGAAAGTCCTAACAGCAGACACTGACCAAGAATGCACAGGGACGTGCCGTGTAAGAGGTTTTGGGGAGGAAGAGGAAGGGCTTAGTTCACCTTTCTATGAATGTGCATAAAACCCAAGGGACGCCTTGGTCCTGTGCGGTGTGTTGAAGGTCAGGAGAACAGCGGAAAGGATGCTGGTGTGTTCCCTCCCCTCCCAATTTCAGAGGAAGATCATCACCTCCCTCCTGCAACCAGCTAGCGCCAAAACCATCTGCACTTCACCTACAGCCTGTGGGGCTAAGAGAGCTCCCACCACTTCACATCCACCTACCCAGTCCCTGGGTTGATTCTCTCCCCGTGCCTTCTACTTGCTAATTCCAGCTCATGTTGGAACTGGGTCACGTCCCAATTTAGGCTCCCCTGCAAAATGTAACCGAGCTACTTTGTTTGCCTTCTCAGTTGGATACTAAAAACTAAAATAATCTGCTAAAAATAGAACTTTGGGGTGCTGAAATAGATGTATAAAAGAGAATGGGAGATCAAGGCTGCTGGAGTTCGTTTCAGCCTCATTTTCCAGAGGGTCTATCTCATTTCAGCCACACGTTCCGGCTAAGCAGGATCAGGCCACCGATGTGCTTGGGCCAGAGCCCAGCCCAGAAGAGCAGGAGGTGAAGCTGGAGCAGAATGATGCCCGCAGCCCTCCCTTCCGCATCCAGAAGGGCATTTTGGAGCTGTGCTTTTCAGCCTAGAGAGAGAAAAGCTCCAATGGCTACCCATCTTCTGGGGAGAAGAGGTGAACGCAGTTAACTACGTGACTTTGCACATTGAAATCTCCTGAGCTAGGAGCAAAAGATCAAATTTCATTCATGAGTTTTCATGCCAGGTGTTTTTTTGAAACAGGCTTTCTTCAAGCAGTTTTCAGGAATCCAGCAGGACAATCAGTTCAACACCCTTCATTACGAGAAGCTGCAAACCAAGGTGAGACCAGGTATTACCCGAATGAAAACAGGACCAAACTGGTTACCCCGACGTGCTCAGAGGACACGTTTAGCCAGCAAAGTTGGTTCAGCTGCTCCCAGCTATTTCTGGTCTATGGAGAAAGACAAAGGGCAGAGTTATGCCTCACCTATTACGGATTTCTCGTTTAAGGTTAGATTTCCTCCTGTGTTTCACTTAGTCTCCGGCTCGGCCAACAATACCATTTAAGGTTGAAAAGTTATAAATTTACATAACAAAATTCTGCCTTAGTCAGAAATTTTACTGCCAGAATAATTGCCTCATTTGAATTCTGCAATCAGTTCATTGCACTGTTTTAATGGATCCAAATTTAAAGAAAATCTTCATTTAATAACTTCAGACAGCTATGAAGGAGTCCTGCCACCTCCACCTGACCAGCTGAATCACACTGCCTCCTGCCTCCCAGTTTTTGGGCAACAGGGAAGAGAATTTCCATTTTAAAAGGGATGGTAGTGATGGACCTTACCTGAAATGGAAAAAAAAAAAACCCAACCCAACACCCCACAACCAAAGAAAACCCCCCCAAACCACTCCACACACACTCTTCTGTGAGCATTAAGAAATAAGAATTTTTAGGCAAACATAGCTTCTTCCCTGCACGTCAGCAGCACATTTTATTTCGAGCTCCTAGAAGTGGAACAAGGCTCTCCAGCAGCTTTGAAGATGAACCAGATCCCAGCCCTCACCCACGGACTACCTTACTTCTGCAACATCTCTGTGTTGCCACGTAGAGAAGTGTGGCAGCTGAAGGTAAGTTTTTAAATATTTAAACACACCAAAAATAGTTGTTAAAAGGTGAAGTCACTGACAATTCCCTATGACACTTAATTCCAGAATAATTCTGTTTGCCTTCCTCCACCCTTTAAGTTATCAAGCTTTCTAATTTTATCTTTAGAGACAACGACTCTTCAGAAGTTCATGGAGTAAGCATAAAAGGTTTTCAATCCCAAAGGTGTGGTTTTGAATTGCTGATAAGAGATAAAACTGCCAAGAATGATCAGCACCAAAACAACGAGCAGCGCTGCTGCTTCGTGCTGTTATTCCATCCTTAAGCTGATGAAATAAAGAGGCCAGCTTTTCTATTTCTAATCAGCCGTGTCGGAAAAAAACAGGATACTTACACTTCTGGAATGACACTGCTGTTTTTACAAGCCCTAAGTACAGCTTGTTTCCACTGCAGTTTTATCGAGTTAGTTGCTATACGGGATTGATATAGAATTTATGGATTTGCAGACACACACACACCCCCCCCTCCTCTCCCTACTGAAGGGATAAACTGCTGTGCCAAGCTGGCCGGAATCTTCCTGCATCCTTTGGTATTTATAGATCTTCTACACCATAGCAGCCAAAAAAAAAAAAAAAAAAATTCCTTTAGTGGAAGCTCCAAAGTTGGAAGTAAAACTGGTAGAAAAGGCTCAATTTTCACAGCTCCTTTCTAAGGGAACCGAGATGCCTCTCGCTGCACCTGGGCCAGGGACTCTCACGATGCCCTGTGAAGCCAGAAGATTTCCTCTGGCCAGCAAGAACAACAACAACAAAAAGCATAGTCTGCTCAAAGAGCATATTTACACTGCAAGTTTTCTGGGCAAAGCACCGGAAGGTTTTATTGAGGCACAAATTTCAATCAAAACCCCAAAGTTTCCTGTGGATTTCTTTTTGTAAACACTAACTCCAGTCAACAAAAGTTCCTAGCATTGCTGTCTCCACGTACAGTGCCAACTATAACTCTGAAAAAACCCTCAGGACATACTAACACAAGGCAGAAGCCAGAAAAAAAAAAAAGAAAAAACCCAACAACAATAAAATCCCACACCAAGCATAACCTCTGGCAAGGCATGTCTCTTCCCTGGCATCCCATTTCTCTGTCTGTAGAGCTTAGCTCCTCTGTAAAGGACACTGACAATTACGAAGGACAGAGTACCGAACACAAGTTAAACTATGGTCAACCACTTGTTATTTCTGGAAGGACTCGGGGGGTCCTTTGGGCTCAATCTCCAGTACCATTTCCATCCCCTTTGCACCGCCGGGGCAAGGCAGAGCAGACAGAGAGCTGCTTCAAAGGCATTCCAGGGATTCTGCCGGGGCGGGAAAGTCCCAGGCGGGATGG